CCATGATGAGTATTGCCGACGATGGAACGACTCCTCTTACAAAATGTTCACCTGTGCCTTAGTATCGTTTTTGAAGCGGGAAGCTCAAAAAACCCCAAATTTCTTACGCAGACTTTGAAGTTATGAGTGCATTTCAGACTTTGCCGATGCGCTCATCGTGATTTTTGAGGCATCATCTATAAGAAACAACTCTTATTTTTGCTCTAGCAAAAGTTTGCAACAGGCCCATTTAATGCAGTCTTGCGGGAAAATTCAGGATTTGATGAAACCCCGATTAATATTGCTGACTTCAGAACGTGTCGGCCCTGCAATTTGAAGAAACACGTAAGAAAATGGATTGGCGTTCCCCAATAATGTCAAATTGTGAAAAAAAAAAAATCGCAACCAGGCTTTTAATAATGCTAACAAACAGGGATAGTGATCAATAAAATGTGGAAATCATAATTAATTACAATACTTTATGTGTGGGAAAATATTTGGTGGTGATTTTGGTTTGGTCGACGGGGTCAGTCCAATTAAGACATCATTCTCAGAGGGCTGCGATAGAATTGCGGGATTGCCCCTTTTTTTACCTTTTTGGAGATGCATAGGATTGCGAGAATTTTTCTGGTACTGAAAACTCACATGTTTGAGCGAATATTCAATACTCAACGAGAAGGCGTTAATCTCGGGCCTTGGTAGTTAGTGGTAGATAACTACATCGCGGGAGACCACTCATTCCCTCCTCATTTAAGGGCATGTCTCTCTTTCATGGATAGCCCTCGTAGCGTGAATGACCAAGAAAACTTTCAAGGATATTTAAAAATCGAACTAAGGGTCTGCGGTCGCTACGCAGCCGCCAACTACTGAGAAACATTACACGTAAAAAATCATAGAACAACCACTTTCAAGTTTTTTAAGAGATGAATGTGTTCAAAACCCGACGGGTGTACCCGAAAGAAAGCGTATATTTATCTCTGACGGCAATATTATACACAACTTTTATGTTTTATTTTCAATAAATATTTTTAAAAAGCTACACATAGTTTTTCTGAAAATTTTTCGCGGTTTTACCTAAATGATCTCAATGAAAGTATCGAAAATTTCGACGCGATATTTTCGTTCGTTCTATTTCCTTTTAATGTAACCGAAAAAAGCAAATATCATCTGAGTTTCTGAATAGTTACAATAAGGATACATATTTTCCCTTTAATTATGGTAAAAACTGGAGCGGAAAATTAAGAATGAAAACACGCAGTCCTTCAGAATTATTTCCCACGGTCTTGTAGGCGCTTTGATGCGTTTCACGCCAACAGACCGACTGCACGGCGTTTGGCGCAATGCGAGAAGTATTCATGCAGTCTTGCAGGCGCTAACATACTGTTAACGACGCGCCGGCCGCACTGTGTTTGGCGCGATTTTTCGAGTTGTCGTTAAAATAATCGAGGCATCGAATAATAGAGCTTAAAAGGTCTAGTTGTGTTTTGACGCCGTATGAACATTCCAACTTTACCTTGTTTCCTCCGATTGAATATTAATTCTGAGAGAAGTTGGAAAAGTTCTCTATACCCACGACCACTTCATTTATCATCAGAAGGTAAGACATCGATGACTTATCAACAACCTAAACTAGCGTTAACTTAAAAATGCGTTTATTTTCTAACTCTTCCCTGTTTTGCAAAACTTCTACCTTAAATTAACTTAATTTTAAATTAGCGCCTTCCTGTAGCAGATGCTAAGGTTTCTATTCGCGCGATCCTCATCTATTTTCTTAGACCTTTCGCCAGAGTCGGATCCAGCAATTTGGCAACACCGGATTCCCTCCACTTAAACCTATGTTAAATAATCGATTCTTGTCGGAGCACCTGGCCCCCTAAGAATCGATACATTTCCAAAGGTTTAAATGGAGAAAAGCAATTTTGTCAATTCGCTGAATCCGCAAATGCCTTTCGCGCATTCCTGGATTACCGTCTCAGAGTTCTATGAAAGTCCGTAACTAACGTAAGTATTACGTACTTATTATAAGTAGTACTTATATAGTATATAGTTAGTAAGTATAGTAGTTATACGTAAGTATTATATACTTTACGGGACCTCCAAACCCTTTGGGGTCCTAATTTGTCGATGACACTGCTGTTTCCTGCCGCAACTTTTTCACCATTACTACAAATGAAATTCTTTCTCATGAGAGACTCCCTTAAAAATTAATTTGAGAATAACGAAAACATTGATAAAATACTTTTCAACTAAACTTGACAAGAATACCCAATATCTCCTTCTTTTATGAGTATGCATGTGAATACGGCATTAATATTTGAACTATCGGGGATTTCAAATTATCTTCACCATGTTAGTTAGTGCGCTCTCTTTTAACATATAAAATTTAAGTTATTTCCTTCGTTTCCTGTCCCGTATCAAAGCATTTTGATCTCCTGCTGATAATCCATGCAGGAGGACGGAGCACTGCTGCTTTATTCTTCGTTATGTTTCTCTTTTTTCCCCAAATCAAACACTTGGCCACGTGGTGCTATCACGACAAGTGCAGAAACTGCAGCTGCATCGAAAAGTTTAAGTTTTTTCAAAATTTTTCGGACTAACGGAGCTAATGTCTCTTTTCCGTTTTTCTATCGTGCACTAAAAGCTACATTCAACGGAGTAGCATGTATTGTATTCTGATATATTCCCTATCATAGCGGCATTTTTTCCGTCTCATATCCAGCACTCTTAAAATTTTACTTGGTCTTAGTGTCAGTTAAGACCACATTTTTCATCATTTCTCAGTTTTTAATTTAATCCTGTGGTTCACGCACCAATTTAACGAAAATTAAATTTCTCAATACAGCCGTGCGGTACATAAAAGTCCAATCGTGATTTCATTTTTCATTTTCTGTTGTCAGTGTCAAGAATCAGTTCAAAGCTCTATTTATGTATCTAATGATGTAATTCTTTACATAATATTTTAAAAGAAATGCTTGAACTGGGAAGTCTGTTTGATTTACAAATACCTCGGGTAGATGAAGGTGAATTTCAGTCGTCAGCATAAATAAGATGACAATCCAAGAAAAGTTATGTCCAAATTACAATTTGGACTTAAATGCTTAATCATTTGTGCGATTCATTTTAAACCTATTCGGTAAGTGATCAACATAAAATTCCATTTAGAAGAATTTTCTCGACTTAAAATCAGTGTATGACATTATTTACTATCTTGATTTGAGGATTATTTTTCTCACGTAGGTAGAAAAATTAGCAGCACTTTTTCACCATTAGCGTAACCTAACCCGACGGCAGTGTAGTTCTATCGAGCACACCAATTTAGAGTTAGCTCATCCCTCAAAATACGATTTTAAACAAGGTAAAACATTTTTAAGTGATAAATGGTAATTCTCAAAGAAAATTCCACCGAAACTACTTTTGTGTTATCTCATAAAAAAGATATTATCTCCGTTGTTTTTTTTTTCGTTTACAGATTATTATCAGCTCACCAAAATAAGTCAAGTTTGCAAAATGAGCGGGTAAGTTTGATCAAAAGTTTGAAATCTTTCCTCTTGGAATATTTTTCTGGATCCGGCACATTAAAGCTAGGATTAGCATTTCATTAGACATGCACAGTTGCAAACCCATCTTTATCATACTATTTAACTTAGACATTCAACTAACTTTTCGAAAGCTACCTTTAGTGATCAAAAAGTGTCAAAGCATCTTTAGGTTGATGAGACTGTAGGAACTTCGAGGAATGAGTCACGAGCTTTTCAGAACTTTAGAATGTTGAATGTAAAAACACTTATATGTATAGGGAAATCAATGTTATATATGTTGTTTCTAAAATGGACGTATTTCTATCATACGGACCTAAGCGCCAGAGGGTGAGGAAGGAAGGGGGGGGGTTGGATTGGCGGCAAAATCGGACGCCCGGCTTATTCCGTCCTATAGGTACTCGCAATGCTTTTCCATGGCGCTTAGGTCCGTTTGACAGGACGCGCTATCCGGCATTCTAAATTCCTCAAAAGGAACTCAAATTGGCGCTTAGTTCCGTTTGATAGAAATACGTCCAAGTCTCATTGAACATTTTGTTGACAGGGTCGGCAGTCACTGTCATCATCTGGGTGTTCATCATTCCAAAACATCCGCCACGACCCCTCATTCGTTGACAAGACTGGCTTCGTCAAAGTCTTTCTGGAGCAGTCCGACGAACATGTTTACACCATGGCCCCAGCCGGATTCGGCAAGAGTCACCTGATTGACATGCTCGACCTCTTCTTGGATTCGGCAACCGTTCCAATCGCATCCACTCATGCATCATCCACCCAGGATCACAATCTCTTCACCGGAACCGTGATCCACCAAAACACCGCGTTTTTCAATCGCCACGTCCAACAGTACCAGGTCATTCGCATGGACTGCCACCCTTACCGCCAGGTGAAGGACTTCGAATCCTTCAGACGCATCCACTGCCACGCCATCTGCCGGATGATGTCCAGACACACCTACCTCCGTGACACGAAATCCAACTTCTCGTGGCTTCAGTACATGGACAATGACGAGAGGTGTTCCACTTACTGTACCTTCAACTTCGACCAGATCGACTACGCAGGTCGCGACCTCTCGCGGCAACTTGCGGAAGCCTCGCCAAAACCAGTTGTCCTTCTCGTTGACGCGTATGACTCCGTATTTCGTGCAATGGTTGATCGCGACGTCGATGTCGCTAAAGAAGTTTTAAACAAGTACGTCAATTTCGTGTCGCGGATCGTGAAATGGAGCAACTGTACGCGGTCACTCCTACTGGGGACTTTGAACTTCGGGGGCGTCCACCCTCATCTGGTTAATAACGTCAAGTTCGTCAACTTCAACTTCCAGTCGACTTTCGCACCCTATTTTGGCTTCACCAAATCAGAGGTTGAGCGTTTACTTTCGAAATTCAAGCATACTGCAGCCCTTGAAAGGGTCACGGGTTGCTACAACGGGTATTCCTCCAGAGATGCACCCAAACTCGCCCTCTACAACCCTTTCTCGGTGCTAGCATTTTTAAAGAACGGGAAGTTTAAAAATTACTGGTTGAAAGAGGCCCCCAGTTTAGAACCTTTGAAACAGCTCTTTTACTACCCCCTGATTGGGAATGTTATTCAGGACATACTGCTCGGTGACTCAGGGCTGCACTCTTTTCTTGACGAAAAGTTGACCTTAAAACAAATCGAACGCTTGAAAAGATACGCCCGGAAAGTTCAAAGTCGGCTACCATCGCGCGATGAGGTGATCAATCCGTTTATCCGATACCTGACCCAAGTTGGATATCTTGCACTCAAGCCCAGTGGGCCTTTTGAGGGTGACTATTTGAAGGTGCCTAATCTGGAGACCGAGCAATATTTAGAAAAATTCCTTTACACAAGCGACTATATTCTGAACGCAATAGGAATCACCCATGCTGCCACCGAGAGGCTGGCTGATGCATTCATTGGATTGTCAAAAAATGATTCTTACTTTCAGGAGTTGTCGGACTTAATTTATGACGCCACCAGGAAGAATCCACCCTCCCATTATACGAAGCCGTCGGTGCTCGGGTATTTGCACGCAGCTTTGAAGCGGCCGGTGAACCGGAAAAAGTTCAAAGTTGTCAGGGCTCGGGTGAAAGTTGCGTGTAATACTTCTAATGAGAAACGGCTGAAGGAGAATAGGGCTGATTTGGTGATTATCACCCCTGATAATACCGGGATCATTCTGAAATACGAGTTGGAGGATTCTCCTTATGTTAACCTGAGAAAAATAATCCAGGGACGACAACACTTCGTGTTTGAGCAGAAATTTGATGCCTACAAACTTTCTCAAAGGATTTTCATAGGACTTTCTTTCAATGGTGGCAAATGCGGTATTCGTTATATTAGGAACACGACTGATTTTTATGAGAACCAATTCGTATCGAGTCCATATTTTCAGAAAAATGAAACACGGTGAAGGAAAAAAGATAACTACATACAAATACGTCTCTCCACACGATATGATACAGTTATAATAATATTATGAACGGAAATTCTAAAAGTAATTATTATTTTACTAATGATTATTTATTGTATAAGTTTAACGGAACAGGTTACTTCCACGAAGCATTACGCAGATGATTGAAGAATTTGGAATTAACAATTGTAAATTTTGCCTGAATCTTACCTACTAAGATTCCACTAATGAACGTAGGTGAGTCAGTAGAACTCTGCTTGCCAAAGAGCGTATATCGTCACCTTCCCGGCAAAGTATCACAAGCGCCACTTTGCCAACTTTTCAAGAGACACAAAAAACTGAATTGCGACCGTAAAAGACGGATGTTTGGCTTGAAACTTGAAATATAGATCTAGCACACCTCCCTGCTTCGAATATTAATAAAATTTCTTTAAAAAAAACGGGTTTTTCTTTGAAAATTGGCGCTTGTGATATCGGCTTCTCGGGGCACTCTGAGAATCTATTGGCGCTTGTGATACGAAAGTCCATCAAATTTAACGGAGTTTTTTCCATATTTCTTCATTTTTAATCTAAAAAAAAATATTATTTTCGTATGTAAATGCATCTTATTAATTCAAAACTACCCATAACTCAACTTTAATAAAAATAGCGCTTGTGATACTTCGGCCGAAAAGTGACGAATCGCTCCAAGTCATTCCAAAAGTTGTTGATACTAATATCGAAAATCAATCTCAAAGATGAGCGATTATTCCCAACTTGGCGCTTGTGATACTTTTCTCTTACATGACGCTTGTGATACGAAAGTTCGTCAACTTCAATGGAGTATTTTAAATATTTATTTATATTTAGTCTAAAAAAAAAATATTATATTCGAAATAACGAGATGTAATTACATGCGAAAATAATTTAGTTTCAAGTCATTCCGAAGACTGCCGTGACAAAAATTGTAAAACAATCAGAAAGGTAGGCGGTTGCCGAACTTGGCGCTTGTGATACTTTTCTCCCAAATGGCGCTTGTGATACGAAAGTACATCAACTTTAATCGACTTTTATTCATATTTCTACATATTTGTTGTAAAAAAAATGATTATTTTCGTATGTAAATGCATCTCGTTATTTCGGAACTATTCATAACTCAATTTCGGTAAAAATGGCGCTTGTGATACTTTGCCGGGAAGGTGACGATATATTCTCGTGGCAAGGGAGATCACCTATTAACCCTCAGATATTGTAGCCATATGTGAGCGGTTGTAGCACAAAACTTTCCTCAGATTTAGCTTCGTCATCTTCCTAAAGTTTTACTATTGGGAGCCGAAATCCGAGACAGAAAATACTTTTTCTGTATCATTCTTAAAAAGGAAGTATCAACTTTGACACCTGGCCTCAATAGCATTTCCAGCCTAGATCTTAAATTCTTGAGCAGAGAGCCATTGCTAATTTAAATTAGCTAAATCTTCACTGAGCCCTGCTTTATATGAACCAACTCCTTCCTCACAGTTTTGTTTCTTAACAATGTAATTCTGATTGTACTTTTGAGCCATATGGAGACGAACCCGTGACTAAACTCGATTATGTTCCATAAACTCCTTCAGGTAATAAGTTTCTTATCTAAGTTAGGAATACTCGTACGTCCTTGCATTATTGGCAGAATCTTGTTTGACAGAGAGTGAGCGTTCCAACTGCAAGAAAAAGTAACCATGAGGCTGCACTCCAAACTATTGCGGCACTGGTTGGATAAGTAGTCATGACCAATCCTGCTTTGGGCCGCAGTTCAGCACAGGAGTGTCCTTCGGCGCTTATGATTCTGACCTCGTCACTAAAATTTCGCAGAAATGAACTTCTCTTAACAATTTTAATGAACAAAATATATATACAATTTACCATAAATAAATCTCAATACTTTTTTTACTGTATAGTCAGCACGTAATCTAACTATTGTGACTCCTCTCTCAGTTCGGTTGTTAAACGATTATAGATCAGTGGCAAGGGGTGAATGATGGATTACCTATCGAAATTTCCTCATTTGAAGCTATGGTAAAGAATCGATTATAAGGTTCGTTGCGAGCACCACTCCACTGATATAGATGATAATGTTAAAAAGTGTTACAAAAACATTGCGAAAATTATCTGAGAGCGGTAAATTTTGACTCATTTTCGTGAAGATTTGAAAGTTAACATTATTTTTAAAATTGTTCCTTTTCGTCTGTGATACCAAAGGAACTGCGTAGAAATTAAGTTATTTTATTTGTAAATGTGTATTGAACAGTAATTTTTAAGGGATCTTGGCACTAGCTTTCGGTTTTTTTGCAGAATATAATTGGTGTATAGCGTTGCAAGCGATTTTAAAAGGAGAATAAGGGGGTAGGATACACTTACCCTATTTTAAAGCCAGAGTTTAAGCTTCCCGTGTGGACAAACATTATCTCAGGCAAGTCAAAATTGGAATCCTCAGAGCAAATTTGTTCCGATTCTGACCCAAGGTTTATCACAACAGCAATCGAGTCATTATTCGTATTCCTAGGAGTTGAAAAAATTATAAATGTTTTGAAAATTTAAATTAAATTTTATTATTTACCTTGTCATTTTTAAATATTAATAAATTTGCGAATTGCATCAGAGATGCAATTCGCAATTTTTCATTGATTAAAATGAGAATAATCCATACAGAGTGTGCAAACATTTCAAAATTTTCAAAATCATGAGTTGAAAAACGCTGACTCCGCGAGATTAAACATTAGAGCCTAACGCAAAGCGGAGCGGCGACGCACTGGCGCGGCGCCTACAAACCTAACAGGGATACTTCACGCATTGCGCAATGCGTGAAGTATCCCTGTTAGGTTTGTAGGCGTCAGTGCACGTTTCGCGCTGGCAGCACGCAGCGGCGCACCCGACGCGGGCGGATGGTGAACAATTTCTTGCGGGGAGAGCTCCCTGACGGAAAACTCTTATATCGTGTAATTTTTTTTTTTTTAATTTTCGAGTTTTAAAATTGCACACTGGTCGAATGAAGTAATAAGCGAACTCTCAACGCTAGATAAAGTGTCATAATAAAAGGCAGGTCGTGCGCCATGCGCGCGACCTGCCTTTATCGCGCAAGGGTTTTAAAGCGGAGAATTTCATCGTAAAATGTCCTTTGCCCCAGCACCCCGATTCGTATTTGATCAAATTTATATGAAATCTTTGTCGAGCATTCGATTCCGATTTTCCTCTGCACGATTACTTCATAGTAATCATGAATTATTAAACATGAATTTAATTTCGCATTGACACTCATAAAAGAAATGAAATCTGGAGTAAAAAATGTCAAAATTCAATTGTTTCAAAACACCTGGCATGTCTGATCTCAGAAGAAGAGGCTTAGCTTTGACCCCTCAGATTCGACAGTTGGAACAGTCGGAACATTAATCAAAATAAACTGATAACTGTTCCCCCGTTACAATGCATACGATTAATCCTTCTATAATTGGTAGATTGAGGAAAGGGAGTGCTGAGCTCTGCTCAATCTCTAAATATCTTTAGTTTACAGAGATCAGCCAGGAGAGATAGCCCCAAAAATAACACGTAACTGAATGCCCACAAACCTCGTAAACATGTAAGTCCAAGTAACGACAACATGCGTCCGGAGGTCTCCGTACTTTACGGCAGACGTATCCCTCAATGTCATCAGGCGCTTGAAAATTTTAAGATGACTTTCGGAATCTTCTGACTGTGCTTTTACATTATTGTACCAGTATTTGGAACTTAGAGGTGTCCATGGATTTTTATTTCTCGTAAAACCTGTAACAAAGATTGTGTCCTACTTTATAATCATAATGTTCTTCAGCATCGATATCAAGTTTGTAGGCCGTCAAAATACACATAGACTGTTCAAAAAGTAGGGGAAGACAAAGGCTGTAACTTCAAAAGTAAGATACGTAGAAGTTTTTTCGTGGTTCTGTTTGAACGACAAGACTAATAATTTTCCAATGAGACCAAGATCGGCTCATTTGGTTGAAATAAAAAAAAAACAAGCAGAAAAATCCAACATGAATATGTTGGAAAAGCGTGCCGAATAACTAAAATGTTGGACACATACCTACTATTTTCACGTCTTTGTTATTTGCATCAATTGGTACTTTTTGCTAAATTTGGGAGAAAATATTGATTCATGAACGTTGAATGTAAATTGATTTTAAAGATTCCGTCCAATTATCTTGATTTTAAGCTGATATGCGGCATTTCGCACGACCGTGATTTGGGCGAACTGCCGTGCATCGAAATCGCGTTGAGTTAATATCTTTGGATTTCGAACTGTAACTTCTCTCCTATTCGGCCGATTTTTACAAATGAGGTCACTTTTTATTTGTACTTTAACGGAAAGTAAGGAAAAACTCGCTAAATAGACGGAAAACAATTTTTGTGAAAATTTGGTGGATCCTGGCGTCACGGTGAATGGTTAATCAGGCGTGGAAGATAATAGGTTCGACGAGGCGACCCTCTCCTCGCCGTCTTTTATTGCCTTGCTCGAAACCTGACACCCAAAGCTATATCGGGAGATAACTGCAGTGGTTTGAGTGGATTTCTGCAGGGGCCACGGTTAGTACATGGTATAAAGAGTCACGAGGCTCATCACAGATTGCACTTGCAGTGCAAGACGCTCATTGGCTAAACAGTTTTGGCGGGAAAGAAGGTTCTAGAGTTGAGTCCTCCGAGCGTAAGAAAGCTTCTATGAGGTTTTTGTCAAATGAAATAATACGGTTTTGACAGGAAAATGTTCTCAAGGGCTCCCAATTAGCAGTTCATTCGGTTTTTTGGTAAGAGACCATCAGGGCTTGACAGTATAATGGTTCAAAGACAAGAAAACGGGTCCGAGGAAAAAAATATTTGGACGGCCCGTTGAATAGCATTGGTTGATCGGTGTGCTGTACTATGGTACATCCGAGTGATTTCAAAAAGCGAGCCCTACCGGCACGCTTAAAAAAAAAATGAAGGTTTAAACAGCGAGTGTCGAGCTCTGCCGTGCTAAGGAAGACCGTATAAACGTTCGAGAGTTGCCAAGTTTCCTTCACTAAAGTGTTTATTTTTGAGGAATTTATGAATATTTTTGCTTGAAAATTTCAGGGACTTTGGATGACATTGCGACCAAAATTATTTGAAAAATTGGAAGATAAATAATCACAAGTTTCCCAGGAAATTCGTGTTTTATCATAGGAAATTATGCAACGCCTGGAGTTTCATTCTACGTTTTTACTTAGCACGGCAGAGCTGTCTACGATTTTCAACAAGGTCTTTTCCTCCCCGAAACGGATCCTATGTTGGTATAACTACTTAAATAAAACCATCGTTGTCTGTCCAAAAAGTTATTCTGTCAATTGAGGACACCTCACCAAGAACAGCCTATAACTGGAAACCGCATTTTGAGAAAAACGTATTTAAAGTTTTGTTTTTGATGTATTGCGCAGGCTTTTCTATGCAGGTACCCTGTTTTGGTGTTTCTGGGTGACCTAACCCTTCTATTGAAGGATGCCGGGTAGATTTTGCAATACATTTTGGGTTTACACTCTAATATATTTAATTTAAAAAAACGGTTTATAGGCCATTATTACGCCCAACAGTCATTTTGGTGGCAATATGAAGTATCAATCATTTTAATCACGCATGATTAACGCAAAATGAAACAATATCAATAGTAAGTAAATAAAGGGCCTTCTAGCACCTTAGGCCCTTAAATTTATAGGCCCGTTTATAGGTCGTTCTTGCACCCATCGATCCAGAGGCCTGACTTAACTCGGAAAAAAAAAGGTTTTTCGACCTCGAGCCGTTACCTATCTATATTCTATCGCTATCACAGCATAGTCCAGGGTAAGTAGAATCCGAAAAGCAGACGGGCTTAATAACGACCTATACGAATATAGGCTGTTCTTGGTGCGGTGTCCTCAATTATGAAATGAACAAATACTAAAGTGAACAACTAAAGCGGATTGAATATCTTTAATACAAAGAAACCAAATTTAATTTTGGTAGGTAATTTTTTCTTGTGTGGAAAATCATGAATCAACAATTCAACACTAATTAATTGGAAACAAGGTTGAGAAATGGTGCTGGGTCCATACCATTTCGCGGGGAAATAAAAGCCAAGAAGTTCCAAAAATTTTAATTAGAGTCAAAAATAATTTTTTTAAACTCTGTTTGGGCCACTCCTCGGTGTTTTTTTTCTCATTTGGATAGAACAATTTATTTTTGACTCTAATTAAAATTTTTGGAACTTCTTGGCTTTGATTTCCCCACGAAACGGTGTGGTCCCAGCACTATTTTTCCACCTTGTTACATACAGTATTCGGGCCACTTCTCAGTGTTTTTTTTTTTTTCTAATTGGAAACTAGATATATATGAATCAACCGTAAAGCATTATACCTCCATTTTTTGTGTCATCCCAAGGCATTGGTCCTCTACATCGATCTCGATCGAAATGAACTACAGAGGCGGCTTCGTCTGTGCTCTGGTCCTCCCTGACCAAGCTGTTTTCGAGCCCTATCTCACTACCGTAGTAAACGCATGCCGACCCTGGCAAAAGCAAATTCAGCATATTGAAAGCATCTACAGCATCAGCTCCAAAACGTGAGCTTACTCTTGGGAAATCGTGGGATTCCGTCTGTAAGAGTACCAAACAGGTCCTAGTTTAGTTATAGTTCATCCTTTACCTGATACATAATATTTCCACTTTTCCGTTTCAGCATACTGTTTCACTGCCGTACTGAGGAAAAACGCAGAATGGACCTTCAGGCGTTGCCAAATTTCCTTTGATAAAACACTAATTTCCATTATTCAGATAATTTTGATCGCAATTTCATCTAAAATTCCTGAAAATTTCAAGGAAAAATAATCATGACTTGCCTCAAAAATAAACACTCTATCGTAAGAAATTTGGCAACTCTCGAATGTTCATACGGCGTTCTTCCTTAGCACGGCAGTATCAGGCGCTTCGCCGATGGTTTTCTGTTGGCTTTTTCGAGCCTCAAAAGTAAGCCTTTCCTTCCTCTTGTAGCAGAACTACAGGCTACTACGATATTGTGTCTCCCAAGGCTTTAATACGGAATTATTCTTTCTCTCCTTGGAAGATACTTTGCTTTGCATTCGAACTAAACGGCACACCTTTATTTTTCAACTGTAGTAATATGACTCACCAGGCCGTGTCCGCTCTTCTCCACCCAACTCCTGTCATTCTTGTGAGTATTAAGTATTTTTTCAATCAAAGTTGAATGTCACTACCTAAATTTTAAGAAACTATAAAGTTTACCCCATTTAACCTGAATTTAAGATCTAAAACTACTGCATTTAGTGTGCCCTTTGATATCGCATTAACTTCTGAGTTCTCGTTTTATCGATAGTAGAGGTGGTTCTAATCATTCATGATATGCCAAGAATTGATACTCATCACGTAACTTGCTTGAGAGGTAGAGGTACCTGAATGTGTTTAAGCCCCTCCAAATGAATTTGTTGATGAAGTTCAATTTTTTGCCTTAATATTTGAGCTCCGAGTTCATTCGAGACAGGAACGTCTAGGACACTTTGGATTTCATACGGAATTTTCTTAAAATTAGAAAAAATGTCCCTGAACTCATTTTATTTGTCGTCCTTTTCAAATGAAATTCTGGATATGCTTACTGGATCTTCATGAATCACAATTGATAAGGTGCCAGCATGCTACTGCTGTGATATCTATCTAGACACCAAAATTAGATGAAAATCTGAAAATTAATAACAAACTGCAGAGGAAATATTTATCTCGTCAAATTATATTCTTACCACCCAAAGAGGTAGACGATTCTTCGGTAGATAGTCGACTAATTCATGAATAACTTTATCCAGCTTTGTTGCACTCTTCTTGTAGTCCAATAATACCAAACCATTGTAAAAAGGAAAATGAGCTGCTAAAAATGTCTCGTTCCCATAATATTGGAACAAAAATTTGGCTGGGTTGATGTCCTCGACGCATAGCAATCTGTAAATCGAAAAGCTAGCGGTAGCATAGAAGGAAATAATTCCTTACATTGGAGAATTGTGTGGACATACTTCTGCCAAACGGAGCCATGTGCAATATGACGTGAGCCCTGTTATGCATGCATATTGCATATCGACGGTGAAACTACCAAACCACGTATCTCGATTTGCGACGTCGCAGACTCCCTGTCATACTTTATTTTTTAAATGAAAAACTACTTAACGTCCAGTCTTGAAAATTTTTGTGATTTTTCCTCATCGTGCGGAGAAAATTCTGTGAAAATTTCAAGGAATGATATTGATTTGGTCGACTTCAAAAAAATAAAATGCGAGCGTAGATTTTTAAACACCGCAAACGAGATACGTGGTTTGGTAGTTTCACCGTCGATATACATATATTCTTATGGGTCTCAGGGGTCATGTCTTAATGCACATAGTTCCGTTTGACAGAAATACTCCCAAGTAAACAGTAGATATATTGACAGTATTCGATCGAATAGTCCTTAGTCAATTCAAGGATTAGTTCAGCAGCCGAAGAAATTTTCCTTAATCGACTCTCAAGAGATATAATATTGCCGAAAATTGCCGAGGTGTCGTTAATTTTAGTTCGGATAGGGTCTTACCTCGACCAATGCTCTCTCATTTGTACTTGAGCTTAGTGGTGTGAGAATGGATATAATGTTAGAGGTGGGCGGGATCAAAGTGGCTGAATAAATTCCAAAAGGTCTTTCTTTTGCCTGATCAAAATGAACTCTTGGCCGGAGTCTATGAGTGATTCAAGATTCAAGTACCTGGTCAAGTATACAGCTCCTTATCATTTTCAATAAAATCTTTTACCCGGGGAACATTAATTTTTTTCTTTTTTATTTGTTTTGTTATGGATATGTTTGTTAGCTTCCGATAAAAACAAACCAGTCCTTCTCTGAACATTTTGCATAACAGAACTCTCAGGGGTTTTGAGTTTTTCGGGAAAATGAAATTTTCCCTTTCCATAAGAAAGTTAGCCCTTTCTATATATAACTACACATCTGCTCGTACTAAAAATAATAAAATATGAATAAAAGCTTCTGAATTTTTTTTCATAACTTGAAAAAGAAGGACCTACGTGTCAAAATATTTAATTATGGGAAACGTTGTTGGCGCAATCTCGTCAAGCGTCAGCTGTTTTAAAGTTTTGTTTTTCCAGTTCCCTTTTTGGATCTCTTTTCTAGTTTAGTTCTGTCTGCAACCTCGTAAGATAAAGGTGTATGAAAACGTCCCTCGCTGTGTTCTTTTCCTTTCCCAATTACCTTTACACGATTGAGGATGACTAAACTGCTGATTCTGTTTAAAAAAAAATGCACAGTATTTTAAGCACTGAGGAAAAATTGAATAACGAAACCCATTCATATCTTGTATATAACATAAAAAACAACAGAAAACGGGAAAAATCAATGAGCGGAATGAGTGCATGATTTTTGACACGTGTTTGCATCATTGGAGTTAAAAAATTACCAAGAGAAAATTACGTTGAATGGATTCTTAGATGTAGACATTGTATGCAAACCTGGTTTTACCGTCCCGTTTTTTGTATCCATCCAGAGTTTCTCGCCATTCGTGCACTAAAATCATATTTTCTTGCAAATGCTGCGTATAAATGTGTCTACGTTGGCCCCAATAACCACCGTAAGTACTATTATTTACCGGCTCGTCCAGCAAATGTTCTGCTTCAAATAAAAACGACACAGCATCAATCCGGAAACCGTCCGCCCCCAAGTCCAACCAGAATTTAAATAGATCCTATATAGGAAAAGAGAAATGGATTCATTGATGTATTTATTATTTACAAAAGGGTCAACAGATTTACACACGGCATTAAGGATGAATACAAGTACACACACTTTACTCTTTCAAAAATATGAAAGAATACTGTTAATAATTTCGATAACACTCTGCACCTATTTTTAACTTAAACTAGTTTGATTTTATTTACCTTCATTTCCTCACGTACTTTAGGATTACGGTAGTTCAAATCCGGCTGTTTCGCGTGAAATTGATGTAAGTAGTACTGTTGCCGTTTTTCATTCCAGCTCCAAGCACTTTCAGCAAACATACTTACCTAAAAAGAGTAAAAAACACCTTTTTAACATAGCGATCATCCGCGAAGAAAAAGGAATTTTTGTGTTTATGGGCAATTTTTCAGAAGAAGACAATTTTTATCAAATCGAATCTATTAAAAGGAATTCTAGCTTGTCAACGAAAAACGCATTCTATACAGATAGAATTTTTTGCATATAAGTGGACTACATTTCGCAATGGGGAACTACTATTTCTCATTGCAACCAAGGAACACTAGGAAAAACGCATAGATCGGAGACGCATATTTTAATTCGTGAACGGCTGAGGATGGATAATGGAGAAGTAATGGCTCTGAAACGCGTCTCGTTAAAATAAAAATTGGTGCAACACGTGAGTATGCTCAAAATTGTAAATTTTATACTTTTTCCCGCTTGTTAAAGCTAATTAAGCTTCAACCACATATGTCTACGTGGTAATGAAGTTCTATATACATACGCATTATAATACTATGAGCCCGTGTGAATAAAGTCATATCCACAGTATTATGATGAATATTATTATTAAGAAGTTGAATAGTTATACAATAGTTCTGATTGTTGCTAAATGTAAGCGGTACAGGAAAGCCGAAAAACCAAGCGGGGACGCCACTTCAATATTAAACTTCCATCGCCTTGCTAACTAAAAATAGTTGTATCTTGCAGGGATACAACTATTTGAACTCTCCGGAACGCGTGAGGTATCACGCCTCAATTGAAGGCGTTTTCGAATCTTCTGTATTTACATGACGAGATTTTCCTACTTTTTTGCATTATATTGTAGAGTTCAGTTCCTTTTATTAATTAGTTCAATTATTCCTGCTCCTTAATTTTTAATTATTCTGGTAAAATTTTCTTTTTGTGAAACGCAATCCTGGCTTTCGCGCCCTTAAACTACAGCCTTAACGGTCAAAACTGCAGTAGCGGCACAGGAAAGCCGAAAAACGAAACGGGGACGCTACTACAATATTAAGCTTCCATCGCCTTGCTAAGGCGCAGGAATACAACTATTTGAACTCTCCCGAACGCGTGAGGTATCACGCTTCAATTGAAGGCGATTTCGAATCTTCCGTATTTACATGAAGAGATTTTCCAAATTTGTTGGCATTAAATTGTAGATTTGAGTTCCTTATCGACGGTGAAACTACCAAACCACGTATCTCGTTTCCGGTGTTTAAAAATCTACGCTCACATTCAATTTTTTTGAAGTAGACCAAATCAATATCATTCCTTGAAATTTTCACGGAATTTTCTCGGCACAAAGAGGAAAAATCACAGACAATTTCAAGACTGGGTGTTAAGTAGTTTTTTATTTAAAAAATAAAGTATGACAGGAAGTCTGCGACGTCGCAAACCGAGATACGTGGTTTGGTAGTTTCACCGTCGTTATATTATTAGTTAAATTACTCCTGCTCCTCGATTTTTAATTATTCTGCAAAAACTATCCACTTGCGAAATACCACCCTGGCTTTAGCGCCCTTAAACTACGGTTTTAACGGTCGAAACTGTAGTAGCGGCACAAGAAAACCAATAAACAACGCGGGGACGCTACTTCAATATTAAGCTTCCATCGCCTTGCTAAGGCGCAGGGATACAACTATTTGAACTCTCCGGAACGCGTGAGGTGTGACTTCTCATTTGAAGGAGTTTTCGAATCTTCTGTATTTACATGACGAGATTTTCCAAATTGTTTTACATTAAATTGTAGATTTGAGTTCCTTTAATTATTTAGTTAAAATACTCCTGCTCCTTAATTTTTAATTATTCTGCAAACATAATCCATTTGCGAAATACAACCCTGGCTTTAGCGCCCTTAAACTACATTAGTTTTTTGCATTTTATTGTAGATTTGAGTTCCTTTTGTTATTTAGTTAATTTATTCCTGCTTCTTAATTTTTAATTATTCTGCAAAAATTATATTTTTGCGAAATACAATCCTGGCTTTAGCGCCCTTAAATTACGGCCTTAACGGTTGAAACTAGAGTAGCGGCACGGGAAAACCGAAATACAACGCGAAGACGCTACTTCAATATTAAAGTTCCATCGCCTTGCTACGGAAAAACGCTGTATGAACATTCGAGAGTTGCCAAATTTCTTCTCAGAAAATAGTTACTTTTGAAGAAAGTTATGAATATTTTTCCTTGAAATTTTCAGGAGCTTTAGGTGAAATTGAGAACAAAATCAATTGGAAAAATCTTTACAAATTTTCCCGAGAATTGGTGATTTACCGAAGGAAATTTTTCAACGCCTGAAGGCTTATACTGCGTTTCTTCTTAGCACGGCAGTATAGAGCTATGTGTTTTTGCAGCTGAGCCAAGAACTGTAGCTGCTAATTGCAAAATATAGTCTACCTATGGGGTTAGGTTAGTAAGTAGTTGCCGGTGATTAGTTTGTTATTTACCTTTTTGTTCCATCGCAACCATCAGCTTCCATCAATATAGGGTCGTTCCATTCTCCCTTTTTCTACTTTGTCTATGGTTTCGTCTATCAATTTCAATAACCAGCCCGCTAGTCCCCTCAGAGGGCTAGTGTCGAAAATGTGTGCTCGTGTATAGTCACTCAATGCCAGGGGGACCCCGTTAGAAGAGAGGCCTTTTGGCCCCCTCGAAATTGTTCTAGCTACGGTCAAACAAGGGTGCAAAAATTCCCCGACCAAGCCATCATGATCGTGTCGCCGCTCGTGTGAAAAATAGTACTCGGAAAACCAACTCGTGAGAGCATCAAAATCGCAGTTTTTACGGGGAATTGCAGGGAAACTTACAAAGTAATTAGTATTTATACACACCCAGTTATTCGGCTCAACTCTGAGGGTGCCGTTGATTTCCTTGCCGTCGTGCCATACAAAATAATCAGTGTACGGCTCCTCTCCATTCACGGAGCGTTTAAACCACTCGCTTTCGTCGCTCACATGATTTACCACGAAATCCATCACTATTTTTAATCCTGGAACCATCAAGAACAAAATGAGGATGTACGATTAACCCTCTTGAAATTGTTTTGTACTGAAAAAAAAATCTCGGTGTATTTACTAAGAAAAGGGTAAAATTACCAAGAATTCAGGGTTCTATTTGATCCCAATTTTTTCTTGGTAAAATTACCATTTATGGAATTGGTAATTTTACTGAGAAATCTTGGTAAAATTATTGAACTTTCTCGGTAATTTTACTGGACCTTGGTAAAAACGCCAATATTTTTTATCGACCATGGTAAAATTACCGAGATAAAATGGCAAAGTTACCGGGAATTGATTACCAATAAAAGTGGTATTCTTACCAGAAAAAAACAGTAAAAATACCGGTTTTTAGGTAAGCTTACCAGTCTATCTCAGTAAAATTACCAATAATTGGTAAAAAAAGTGAAGTTTTTTTACCAATTATTGGTAATTTTACCGAGATAGACTGGTAAGCTTACCTAAAAACCGGTATTTTTACTGTTTAGTCAATTCATTAGTGGCGAGGCGTGAATGATCGATTATCGAAATTTTTCCATTTGAAGCTATGGTAAAAAATCGATTATTAAGGTGTTCGTTGTGAACACCTTGTCTATCGATCCTTTCACATAGGTTTAAATGAGAAATCAATCGATATATCGCAAACCACGCCACGCCACTGCAGTTCATAGAGAAGGATTTATACACATGAAAGAAAACAGTCAAACCTCTCATGTTTAAACTAGCCATTCCTTTCATTCGTGTTTAAGGCGAGCCAAAAAAGCTTACTCCTTATCGACTCCCGCGGGTCGATTGTTGAATCGTTATCAAATGATCCTGATCGATATATCCCTATCTTTGTAATGCTTTTTATCGATCATGATCAGTGGCGTGGCATGCTTACGATTAATCGATTGATTGGCCATTTAAACCTATGGAAAAGTATCGATAAACAGGGTGTTCGCAGCGAACACCTTAATAATCGATTATTTACCACAGCTTCAAATAGGGAAATATCGATAGATCGTAAAGCACGCCACGCCTCTGATGAAGCCCTATCTTAGCCATGCTTTATATCGATCAAGGTCATTCGAGATTGATTCAACAATCGAGTTACCGGTTATCAACTGCGCAAGTGACTTCCAAATGAATGAAAATAAAATATTAGGAATCCCGCACATCAACTTTGTTAAAACGTTTTAAAATTTTGGAAATAAGCCTAGACACTCACGTGCAAGTCAAATTTTGATTGTTTTTTTTTTTTTAAGTTACTTATCCTTGCTTTGCGGTTGGCATGAAGCTCGTCTCATAATTAATAATACGGCGCTTTCAGATGACAAGAAATATTAATTTTTGGCATTTAATATCTTACTCACCTTTTTCGTGTGCTATTTGAATTAGTTCTTTCATGTCTTCCATTGTTCCAAATACTGGATCGATTTCTCTCATGGATATGGGGTCATACCCCATATCCACCATGGGAGATCTATAAACTGGCTGAATCCAAATTGAGTCAACTCCTAGATCTTTGACGTAGTCAAGTTTCTCGATTATTCCTGTTAATTTTAAGGATTTATAAACATAAAAATGAGTAGATTTAATTAGGCTATGAAAAGGGCACCAGATACGTTCTCACCGAACTGGCTAAAAAAACGCACAAGTTTGCGCTTGGAAATCGTATTACCAAGAAAGGAATTAACAAAACGACGATTTCAGAAATTAACTCTTGAAATAGATATCAAAAATAATTTTTGACAAAGAAGAAACTGAAATTATAGACTACTAGAGGCCTGTGACTGCTACGTGGCCTCCAACTACTGAGAAAAATTATACGTAAAAAATAGTAGAACAACCACCTTCAAGTTATTTAGGAGATGAATGGATTCAAAAGACGATGAGTGCACGCGAAAGTAAGCATATATATCTCCAACTGCAACGTTAAGCACCAATTTTTCTGTTTTACTTTTAAACACCGTTTTTAAAAAGCTACACACAGTTCTTCCCACGAATTTTCTTAGATGATCTCAAGTGTAAGTATTGACAATTTCGACGCGATATTTTCGTTATCATTCGTTCTTTCTATGTAACAAAAACAAAAATAAAAAGAAAAAAAGAAAGAAAAAAAGTAAAAATAAAATTAAATACTATCCGAATTTCTAAATTGTTGCAATGAAGATACATATTTTCCCTTTACTTGTGGTAAAAACCGGAGCAGAGAGTCAAGAATGATGACACACAATCCTAGTTTAAAGGTGGCTTTAGTGTCTCGCGAGCCTGGGAGTGAAACGCGGTTGAGTCATCTTTGCAGTGTGACGCGCCTTCCATCCGGCAAGCGGCATTATGCCTACACCCATGGTCGAACAGTTACCTCGTTACGCCTGTCGTGAATGAAACCAAATATCGACGCCTCCACGCGGAAAAAAGTGTTCTTATCTCCGATTGCAACGTTGCAAATCTCTACTCATAATTTATTTTTAATCAATTTTATTTTAAAAAAAACTACACACAGTTTTTTTAGAAGTTTCCAAGAAATTTCCGGAATGGTTTGAAATAAATTTACAAAAAAATTCGACGCGATATTTTCGTTCGTTCTGTTTTCTTATATGAAACCAAAATCAATTTTACGTGAATCAAGTTTCAGAGTCGCTGCATCGTTTGAACATCGTCGGAGTTGCCGAAGCTTTGCAATTATGATACTTATTTACACTTTTATTGTGGTAAAAACCGGGCAGGGACCGTCAAAAGAAATGACGCGTGGTCCTAGTTTTGCGACGATTTTTCCGTCGCTCGAGCTAGGGAAGGGAGCGCGGTCGAGTGTCGAGTAGTCTTCACAGTGTGATGCGCCTTCAATCCAGTTAGCGACAATGTGCCTACACCGGTAGTCGAATAGTTAGCGCAAATAACGCTTGCATTGCATTTGGTGCAATGCGAGAAGTATTCATGCCGTCTTGTAGGCGCTAATACGCGTTTGACGCCGACCGCACTGTCTGGCGCAATGTGTGAAGTATTCATTCAGTCTTGCAGGCGCCAATATGAGTTTGACACCGTGTGCGGTTTGATTATTCCACGTTTGGATAATCACAGCATCGAACAAGGGGCTTTAAAGGCCCATGTTGTGTTTCGACGCCGCATGCGCAGTCCAACGTAGCCTCGTTTCTGCCGATAAAATATGAGACTTAGATCTTAGACAGCAGAGTTAGCACCTTAGTAGAGCAGAGTTGGACCTTATTTTCAACACGCAGTTCCTTTTCATTTAACTCAACATCATGGATCTTCAATAATGACCTCTGCACTACCGTGTCAAAGAAAAACGTGTATGAACATTCGAGAGTCGCCAAATTTCCTCAAGTAATGCGTTAATTTAAAATGGAGTTATAAATATATTCACCATAAATTTTCAGATAATTTAGATGTGATTGCGAATAATATCCCATTGAAAATTGGAAGAAACATATTTACAGATTTCCCTGAAAATTCGTATTTTATCAAAGGAAATTCGACAACACCTAAAGGCTCTTGCGGCGTTTTTCCTTAGCGTAGCAGTGCACTTAGCTTGATATGAACTTTTAAGAAGTTATGGTAGCGCACAGCTTTAAAGATACTCTACGGCTTACGAGCCGTATGGAACTTTAAAATGGGTCCACCAGTAAAGAAACGCAAAAAAAAATTATCCACAGAATAGTTGGAAATGGCATAGTCACATCCAAATGTAAGATTCCAAATATTAATTTTCAAATTAATATTTTGTTCGAAATTCACGTGGACTTGATAGTGATGCAACAGTGCAGATACTTTGAGAAATCAAAATTTTTGCAAGAAAATCACGGAAAAAATTATATGCTGATTTATGCTCAATTGTTAAAAAAAAAGTGACTGCAATGTTTCAATGTAGATTTTCCAATAAAAAAATTCTAATTTAATCACCCCCGTGGTTAAAGTAGCTTTCCAACATTGTAAAATGTACATTTGAAAAATTTCAGTCACTTTGTTTAACAATTGAATTGTTATATCAGCAATCCATTTTTTCCACGGGAGTTTGTATTTTTTTTAAATCAATAAAGGTGAGCGCAAAAAATTTTTCTCTCAATGTCACATTGTTAAATGCTGCTGTTAAAGAAATACTTTAGAATTTTTAAGCGGTGTAAGTTTCTGCCGTTTGCGCAGTATTTTTTTTTTTTTTTTTTTTTTTTTTTTTTTTTAAACTTCACTCAGGAATAGTAAGAATAAATGTCTTGATACCCGCAAAGAAAGCGCGGTTTCGGATATTGTTTTATGTCTCATGGGTGTGGGACGAGGGTTCTTAATTTCATTAGGCGTTTAATATTATAATGAAATTATGGTGAAAACTTAATTGCTTCATAATTTAGTTTTAAGATACACATGAAATTTTTAAGATTTTGAATAGAAAAGTTACCATTCAGATCACCAATACCGTCTCCATCAGAGTCTTTGAATGATCGTGGAAAGATTTGGTACAAAACACTTGTCTCCCACCAATCCAATTCTGCTGAAATTGCACTAAAAACAAGGGATAAGCCCAGTATCGAAAGGATTATCATGATTGATCACTTTTTGCCTTCAAAATTGTTTATGTTTCAGCAAATCTTGTACATTAATTATATTAATAGAATCACTAGTATTTTAAAATGAGCAAGACAAAGACGGAAAAAATTGAACATTGCGATCAAGAACGCGCACGGTTTTAGTCTAGAAACTTTATGGACCAATAAAAAAAGTTTCGGGTGATTACATTATGATATAGAGGGATTATCGCGTTATTGAACGGAGGCAAGATAAAAGGAATATACATCGACTCAAGCACCTCATCCGCGATTAAATAGCCATTAGCAAAAATTTGGAACAAGAGAAGCTTCATAATTACATCGACGAGTTGCAATGTACTCATGCTGCGACAGCTTTTTTTGTCTTTTCCTTCCCTCCATCAGTGAAATGTTAGTACTTTTTCAATTGGGTACTCGTATTTAAAATCATCACATATGAACAAACTCATGACATATTCAAAGCCACCTCAGTTAGATTTATGACAGATTTTGGACATTTTCAGTTCCCTGGCGGTAAGTTTGGGTGCCTTTTTGAATAGAGGGCGCTGAATCCAGTACTTGAAAGCACATCTTCAACTGCTGTGTAAACCTGCAGATACGAACGTTATTTCCTTTCCTCCAATTAGCCGGGTTCTAGTTTCAGACGATCATACCTTTCATTTTTCAGCACGCCATGTATCAATAATTTTTTTAATTTTTTTCAACCATTTTTGAATGAAACGACCATGAGAACAGACGTGGAGACATTTCAAACAACCAAAATGGATAATTTGACGGGAAGAAATTTACAATCACATTGAAATGCATTGTCGTATTACTAAGTCCAGCAAGATATATTATGTCTCTTAAAACTCACTTTCTGTATTTTTAAATCAAATTTATTAAATTAAATCAAAAGAAACTTTTCAGATGTTTATCTCAGAATCTTAAAGTATAGTGCCCAGATCATACTATCGCGCTTCACCAAGTGCTTGGAAATAAGTACAGGCACCTACATGATAATTTTTCTCGAGAGTAAAACAACACATTCATTTGAACCTTCAAATACCTTAAGCAGAACTATCTTAAAATATACTGGAGATCTAATGAATGTTATTTTTATGTATTTCGTAGTTTTTAGAAAGAAAACCAGCCAGCAAGGATTAAATCATAAATACGATCATGAATCATTAATCAGACCAACATACCTCTCTTCTCCATCAAGGATACATTCCATAGATAATTTTAATATCTGAGAGATTTGTTAAAAAACTAAATAACTGTTGATTTTTTTATATCAAACTTTTTACCTTACAGTTTGCTCAAATGTAAGATTACTGGTCACTTAAAAGATTTGTCGGCTATTGTGTCGCCATGAGAGTACTGCTCTTCAGCAGTGAAAAATAAGAAATGACGCAAAAATTTATTTTTGTCAGCTTGGACTTTTATTTACAATATTCGGTTTTCTATACATCAGAACGGGCTCCTCGATGAAGGAGTCCAACTCGGTGTTGATCCTTTTCTTCATCCTGAAAAACTGTCTCAGCAGCTTATTCTCCTCAGCCTGACTCAAATGACTCACCCTATTATCGGCCTCCGCATCACCACCCTCTCGAAAAGGGGGAGGCTCACCCCAGGAACTCGGCTCCCTCGGGTATCGTGGTCCTCGTGGCTCAAAATTCCCCATTATTTGTGGAGATTGACCAATAGGACTAGAGTTATTCGCGAACTATATCCCTTGATTATTGAGGGGCATAGGTACATTTATGATCGGAAAATATACTTGAGTCATAATAAACCGGGAGGTGGCTGTCATTTCGGCGTCCCACTTGGAAATGGACGGAATTTTCAAAATCGACAGAACTTTTTATCCTGATTCCAAAAACCGAGTTCTGCTTGGTCGGCCGCACAAAACTTACTTTGATCATTATTTGTATACATATAAATAAACCTCGTTGAGAAGAAACTCGTTGAACTTGAAAGTCGCAAAGGTGCTACTACTTAAAATTAGCCGGTTATTTACTGAACCCCACCACTTAACATACATCACATCCTTTTTCAGAGCTTTTTCTCTCGACGATAGGTTTATCTTGAATTGCACTAATTTTATCATTGGGCACTAGTGGAGAGATTTTCCTAAATTCAATTGTCTTGAATAAAGTTCTTAATAAAGTTTCATGGCCAAGTTAGCAGTAGGTCCTCGCACTACTGGTAGAGTCCTGCTTATCGAAGAGTGAGTATCCCCATTCCAAGGATAAGTAACCATGAGACTGGACTCCAAACTATTGCGGCACTGGTTGGATAAGTAGTCAGGACCAATCCTGCTTTGGGCCGTAGTTCAGTGCAAGAGTGTCCGTTTGAGCTTATTATTCTGACCTTGTCACTGAAACAAGTGATGAATAGACATTATATGTATGTTTGCGCAATAGCATCTAATCAGATGAAGAAAAAGCCAACAGAAATACAGAAATTAAAAGCATAAATTCATGAAAGCGTTTCAAAATAAAATTGTGATCAGTTCATCACTAGATTGAAAAAAATTTCATTTAATTTTGTACGTACACTCTCAAAATAGTTTAATAGTTTGGTGTATTTCGTGGTTCCAAACAGATTCTTGCGTGGTTTCAAACAGATTCTTACCCTATCTTGAAGCCAGAATTCAAACTTCCAGTGTGGACGAACATTGTTTCAGGTAGGCCAAAATTGGATTCTTCCGAGCAAATCGCCTCCGATTCTGACCCGAGGTTTATCACAACAGCTACCGTGTCATTGCTTGCTTTCCTAAAATTTAAAGAATTATTATTATTTGTTTATGCATTTAATTTTTGGCCAATATCATTTAATTGCATTTCCGCTCCTTTTTTAGTAAAATACGGTCATAATTGCTGAATAAATTTATGAAAATTAAGTAAGGAAAAAGGTGCCGATGAGCCTGCTGCAAACTTCAGCAGCTAGATCAAAAAGAAGAAAAGAATTGCCTCTTCTAAAAAGTGGCTCAAAAATCACAATGAACGGAAATTGGCTCTATTTTCGATGCAACTTAAGGCAACTGCGACGCAAATTCTGAGCGTCTAGGTGCCGGATTTTAGCTTGTGTTCTTCCATGACATTTGAAAATTACTTACTACTGTAATACTTACTACTCACTACTGTAATAATATTTTTAAAAAAAATTATCTCGTGGTGGGGGCCCTGAAACGTTTGCTCCAGCGGTGGTATTCTTCAAATTTATCACTGGTTCTCCTTTTGGTCCAGGCTTTTTTTTTTTTTATTTTTTTTTTTTAAATCATTTGTACATTTACTTTTGGCCTATGAAGATGTGAGTGATGTTATAATTTCAAAAATGTATATATTATCAAACGTGTTTAACAAACCTAGTAAACAAATAGGTCCATGTATTCACGACATGCGTCTCCAGATCTCCGTATTTCACGGCAACCGTTTTCCTCAAAGTCATGAGGCGTTTGAAAATTTTCAGATGACTATTGGCTTCATGCAATTGACTTTTCACGTTAGTAGTCCAGTATTTAGTGCTTAGCGGCAACCAAGGCGTTTTATTTGTCGTGAAACCTGCAACAAAATATTCAAGCAATATCTCTTATTCCAATTTATGACTCTTTATGATCTTAACAAAATTAATGTGCCAAAAAATGTCTCTTGCACTATTTGAACTTAAAGATTCTTTGGTGGCTTTTGATATTAATTTAAAATGAATGGAAACATGAAAATGCCATTAAATTTCCAGTTTTGCTCCCTACCGTCCAACAGTTCTCATGTATGACATCTGAGGTAAAGTATTTGAAAGTTTAAGAAGCTCAGTCCTTCTAACGTTAGATTCTAAAATTTTAGGGTTTTGGTTTAAAAATGAGCTGAGCGACACTACAATGTAATTGGACGTCTATCTGCTAATAGGAATTACGGACGAGTAGGAAAGATGGAGTGTGCTCTAAAAATCTGTATAAGAAACAATGTAAAATTGGACGTGATGCCCTTTTGGGAAAACGGAAAAGCGGGCGTTTACATTCTGTTAAACGGTACTATGTGCCAACCGAATGTGGCACTCATTAGCCATTGGCATCCAACAGGAGCGTTGTGGACAAGGCTCGTGAATTTTGCGGACCGCGGACAAGGGTTGCGGCTTCGTTGCTGCTGACGTCACTGGCGCTTTTTCATTCCGATTCATCCTTACGACCCTCGACTAACAAGCACACCCCTTCTTTCCCACCTGTCTCTAGTTTCATTTAGCAGAAACACGTCCGATTCTGAACAAGTAGTTGATTATTTGTCGAGAGAGAAGTCTCAAATCCTACCGTCATTCAAAACACAAGCAATGTCACGATTTTGAGGTGCACTGGAAAAAGAAGTCGCTTGAATCTAGAGTCCAGACTCTTAAGAATATGGACAAGAAAAAATACTCTTGATTCAATCTGATTGTTCCTTGAATCGGAGAACCGAGCCTCTTGATTTAGGCGGATTTCCTTTTGATTCAAGCAAGAAGTCCGATTGAATGAAGAGTATTTTTTCTTGTCAATGTTTTTAGGAGTCTGGACTCTAGATCCAAGCGACTTTTTTCCAGTGTGGCCTATTTTCATATTGCGTGATCAAACGTATAAAATGATTATTCTTTACCTCCATTTTTTGTGTCATCCCAAGGCATTGGTCCTCTACTTCGATCTCTTGAAAAGGTCAATGCATTAGATGCCTTATCCGTTTTTTGGTCGTCCCTGATCATGCTATCTTCGAGGCCTATCTCACTACCGTAATAAACACATGCTGACCCCGGTAAAATCAAATTCATCATCATGAAGGCATTGACGGCGTCAGCTCCCATACGTGAGCTAGTCCTCACACGATCATGGGAATCCGTCTGAAAAATAATGAAGCAGTTGAAGCCCATTATATACTAGGGGGCTATGCCCTCTGGCCGCTATGCGGCCAAAATCCCAGAGGACGCTTCGCGCCTTCTACATAGAAGCGACTCTGTGACTAAATCTAATTAGAGTGGAATTATTTAGAGACTTCTCCCGTTATATGAATCACAGCGCAACTATTCATGCTTTAAAGTCGTGCATATTGAAATTATGGCTTCTGCAAGCGAACTCTACAGAATGAGAGACACGCGATGGAGCGAGTGTGTTTTTTGCCAGGACGGAACTACTGCAAGCAGCTATTCATGCTCCAATAATAATAAAAAAAAAATAAAAAAAAAAAAAAAAAAAAATTAAAAAGCAGGTAACAAGGCTGAAATTTCACGAATAAAACCAAGACGTTTCAGTTGAGAACTCAGCCTTACTCGGTTGGATAAATCAAAATAAAAATGATGAAAATCTAAAATAGTACCTGGCTGTACCTTTCAAAGCGAGAATGTTGTTAGCTGAAACGTTTTGGTTTCATTTGTGAAATTTCAGCCTTGTTACCCGCTTTTTAAATTATTTTTTAATTGTATATCTTGTCACGGGCTGCGGAGTGTCTATCATATCTCCTATTTGTGATCCTAAGCCGCTCATATTGCCATCACGGTTATTGAAGGCGAACTAAATAAAATAAGCGGTACGCAGTGAGGAGAATAATTAACATGTATTCTTTGGCTTCCTACAGTTATTAGTTTTCTTATAAACTCATCATTTTCATTTAGTTGTAATTAAAAAAAAACTGCGTGGAATGCTCATTCTGTAGGGCAGACTAACACACATAGAGTTGATTGTTTCACATATCTTTAAATAAACTGATCAACCAACCAGACATCCAGTCAGCCAGCTAGCCAACCTATATCTACCAACCAGCCAACCATGTATTTAAAAGCGTAAACGAAGCTGTCAACTTGCGAACTTTATCATAACTGGTTGATTGAGGTGAGAGGGAGAAGCCTGAACTTCGTCATAACACAAAATCAATTCGAATGCAGCTTTGAATCTTACAAACGTGAAAATATGGTGGGATTCCGATAGATTTACACGGCTCAGCTTCCTTACCGTATTTCGAAAGAAAAGAAAAGCATAATGAAAGGATTAAATCGTCAGATTGAATTGTTTCTTCGAAATTGGACTGAATCAAAAAAATTCAGTAGTGTGACTAGTCTGACTAACTTATAACGTAATCTAATTAAACAGTCATACCGAGGGCGTAAGTCCGCGATCACATATCTCGTTTTCGGTGTCTGCAAATCTCCGCCTCCATGTTATTTTTTTAAAAGAGAACAAATCGACATTATTTCTTGAAGTTTTTGCAGAAGTTTCTTCGCACAGAGAAGAAAAATCACGGCAGTTTTAAAGAATTGCGCCGTTGAGTAGTTTTCCGCTTAAAAAATAAAGTATGACAGGAAGTCTGCGACGTCGCAAACCGAGTTATGCGATTGCCGACTTAAACGGTTGATATTCAAATCACTCGTCACCTTTCCGTATTGTGTTCATACTTTGGCATGTCATAGAAGATTCTTACCAACCAATTGGGCAGGCGATTTTTGGGCACAACATCAAGGAAATCATGAATGACTGAATCAAGTTTGGTAGCATTCATCGTGTAGTAGAAATTAATCAAACCGAAATTGAAAGGAATGTGTGCTGCCGGAAAAGTCTCGTTCCCAAAATAGGGAATCAATTTTTTTGGACCAAAAGGGTCCTCGACGCTCAACAATCTGAAAAATTAGAACTCTTATAAATCCCACTATTTTGTTGCAAATATTCCATTGACACTTCGTATCACCTAACGGTAATGATGCCCATGGAGAGGGTCTTTGTATGCGTGAAATATGCAGAAGAACAAGTTGCAAAAAAAAAGTAAAAATGACACAAAAATAGGTGTGTATGTTATAAATACACTTGAAAAAAATACTCAATCACGCCTAGTTTATACGTTGCACAGAAATTAAAATTACATGATTAAACAAACAGGAAAAGAAATTAGAAATAAGTATGTACAGGATGTCTCAGGGTGGGTACAAGTAGGGATGACGGAAGCCTTAAGAATAAGTATGTATGGCGCAAAATAGACAGAGTAAAGTAAAAAACAGAACATGCATCCTAAGGAAATGAGAATTGTGAAAATGGGGGATCTGCACATCCCTCTTTGCGTCCTGTATTTGAGGTAGAGACTGAACCACAACGCAAATGTAGTGTGTTGAATATACTGCTTCATCCTTAAATTTTAAAATACTGAAAGTAAGCTGTTCCTTTTTTTAATGCTTGTAGATTCTTAAAACTCTTCAAAACGTACATAAATTGTTTGACGTTCAAACAAAGAAGGTATAATTTTGGGTGCAACATAGTCACCGATCATCGTTTAAATCTCGCATGATATCTTTTTCTTAAGTTACATGTCGGAATTACCTGGTTATTCCATCCTTAAGTTTATATTCGTCTAAGACCTGACGCCATCGATGCAAAATATCGAGGTTTTCCGGTTGGTCTTGTGTGTATATGTGTATGCGCTTGAAGAAGGTGTTTGAAAGACCCATCACATCATTGGTAACCGGCTCATCTTGCAAATGAGCTGCCTCAAATAACATGGGAATTGCGTCGACCCGGAAGCCATCTACTCCCATGTCTAACCAGAACCTGAGCACATCCTGTTTGGGGACGCAAATGAAACAACATTGTTAGAATTATGGCACTTGAAGGAAGAGAGTATACTGCCACCAAACAACTCGAGTTATATGCGAGATAAGCGATGGAATCCGGAATTGCGCTTGAGCAGAAATTATAATTCCGCTCCCCAAAAGGAGTACATTTTGCACCGAGTCCGCACCATTCGGGTGGTTTGGTAGTTTTGTATACTTCGGAATAAAAAACACTCTAGATTCCATTTCGATATTTTTTTGGCTCATACTTCACTTTCCCAAGCGCCGAAGACAAAAATTCCTCCTTACGTATAATTTTTTTTATTTTCATAAACTTCAATCGCGGAGAAAACTATTTCACATTTTCAACATCATTTTTACAGAGAGAACAACTTTAACTTTTTAAATTTCAAGGAATAGTTTTTTAACTTTCAAAAAGTAATAAGCAAGTATTATAATGTTGCAAAGTTGAGTGTGTGTTGCGTATGTGCTGTTGCGTCGTTCGCGTGATTTTAACCTTGTTTTCCACTATTTTTTTTTTTGTCATATATATAAATGTATATTTTTAATTCAGAGTCAGTGATAGACTCATAAATTTTTATAGCTTATTGACATTCCACATGAATTCCTGGGTACAATAGTAAATGAAGATTGTTTCCTTCTTTATTTACCTCCAATTCTGCTTGGACGGCAGGGTTCCGGACGTTCAAATCAGGTTGTTCATCCTTGAATAAACGATAATAGTACTGTTGTCGCTTTTCATTCCATTTCCATGCACTTTTCTCGAACCATCCTACCTAAAATTGTTTGGAAGATTATTATTGGTTCAATCATGCTTCGACGGCTGAGAATATGTGTTGAATGAATGTGCGTATTGCATATTCAAAAATTGAAGGCGCTTCCTCTTCACAAAGACTAGACTGAGTTGATTGTAGCACTTTAATGCAACTATTCGTGTTCCACGGATGTTCGTGTTGCATGTTCAAAATTGAAGGCGCTTTCGCTTTTCTCACGTCTTCAGAGATTCTCGGGACTCGTCAGTTTTAGCACTCCAATAACAGAATAATTAAATAGGGAGAGTATTACCAGTGTGTGACACGAGGCCGAAATATCTAGGGTCAATAATTGAATCGGTCATTCTTATGAAGACTTAAACGCCGGAAATGGAACACGAGAAAAACATTAGAGGTTGTTCAGATGAACTGTTTTTTTTTTTTTTTTTTTTTTTTTTTTTTTTTTTTTTTTTTTTTTTAAATGATGCAGGTTTGTTGGCTTATAATCCGTTAGGAACCCACAGCTTTCAGAGATGGCACATCCATGCGCTAAGCTTTTCAAATTTTTAGGGATTATGGCAGAGTAGAATCTGTTTCAGCAGGTCCACTCTTCAATTCCGTGAAAATTTGACGTCACTACTTGGATTTGAACCTGAGACCTACCGACTTAGAGTCAGACGCGCTGACCATTAGGCCAACATGGTCGGCATCAGAGGTTTAAATAATTTCTTAAAGAATCAACACTAACCCAATTATTCGGTTCTGTCCTGTAAGAGTCATTTATTCGTTTGCCGTCGTGCCAGACAAAGTAATCCGTGTAAGGTCCATCTCGATTCACGGAGCGTTTAAACCACTCGCTTTGATCGCTCACGTGATTTGGCACAAAATCCATCACTACTTTCAACTCTGTAAGCATCACGAAAACGAAAATACTCAGGTCAGGGAACATTAATTTATCATTTTGGGTCTCTAAAAAACTACCATCAGCATCAGAAAAGAAGTATAGATGCTGTGCTATGAACAGGCAATATTTAGCTCCTTTTTGGTAACTTGGTAAATCTGTTCAATGCGGCTAGAATGAAAACCTTAGAATTAAGTATGTGACAAGGGCAAATTTTAGCTTCGGTCAAGAGTTGGTCTTTGCGGCCTTGTTGCAACTTTACAACGTCAGCAAAATTGACATTTATACAGCTTTAAAGTAAGGCAATAGCAATGAGACAGGGCCGGATTTACCTATACTTGCCACCCATGGGCCGCCTGTATTTTGCCGCCCCCTTCTCATTCGTTTTGAAATACCAATAAAAACCATCAAGTCAGCGTACCAGCGGGAGAGGGGTGCATAAGAATTGTTTACTCGTGTTGGACATATTTTTTGGGAAAGCCCTGTTAACACTGCTAGCCAAAGTTCACGGAACTTTGCGCGAAAGTTAAGTTCCGTGAACCTATCTCTGTGTGGACAAGGCCTTCCATTCATAAGAAACGGACGAACAAATTATGAAAGAACAAACATAGATGTAGTTTGATGATTTTAACTTCCGCCGCACCGCGCAGACCGCACTGTGTTTGACGCAATGAGTGAAGTATTCACGCAGTCTCGTAGGCGGTAAGCGTTTCACGCTGGCCGCACTGTCTTTGGCGCAATGCGTAAAATATTCATGGATTCTTGTAGGCGCTATCCGTTTCACGCTGCCCGCAGTGACCGCACTGTGTTTGATGCAAGGCGTGAAGTATTCGTGCAGTCTTGTAGGCGCTAATATGTGTTACATGCCAACCGTCGCGCGCCGAGGGCTTCTCCTTTTCATCTCAAGTCCTCGTAATCATTTCTCTCTAAGTCGCGCCGTTTCAGGCCAAATTGCGTGTTTGGTTTCTCTCTTAACTCGATTAATGAAAGGTGCTGTCTCTTTTACCACTAAAAGACGACAAAACTAGAAATTACTATACTCTCAGGAAATGAGAGATTTTGTCGCCTTTTCTCGTTTGTAATTTTTTTTCAAAATTCGATTTTTTTTAAAAAAATTGCAAAATTTGCCGCCCCCTTGATTTGCCGCCATGGGCCGCGGCGCATGTGGCCACCCCCTTGTTCCGGCCCTGCAATGAGATATTAATTTTTATCTTAATGTAACATAAAAATAAAATGTATTGGTTCTAAAGCCCACTTTAATCATTTAAAAAGCTGTTTTAAGCAAAAACATTAAAAGGTGGGTCTTATTTTAAGAGTAGAAATGCAAAATTTGCTCAACAGTGTCTCTGGCTGTCGTTAGTGTGCACCTAGACTTGAGCTAAATTTTTCACAAAAAGTTCAATTGGTTTCATTTTAGCCCTATTTAATAAATCATTAACCTGCAAAAAATTGGATGTAAAAGTTCAATATTTACGGCGGACCCTTGTTCTTCATTAATCAAAGACTGGTTTTGTGAATTTTGATTAAAATATAATACAACCTACATGACCCGCACTCAATTAATGCGATAGACCCTTAAAATAATATGAAATTTAAGGGAATAGTGATCAAATTATCTGTACCACATACAATCAATCAAGAATTAGTGAGCAGTTATTAACTTATACAATAATTGATTAATCAGTTATTAGTTTATGGATCATGCGCCACATTCAAACGTACAGTGTTTTAATTGCCACTTGTCCCTCTTTTTTCTTTCTTTTTTCTTTCTTTTTTTCCATGACAATGCTAAGAATATTACTTACTTCTCTCGTGTGAAGCTTGAATAAGGTTTTTCATATCCTCCATTGTTCCAAATAGTGGGTCAATTTCTTTCATGGATATAGGATCATATCCCATATCGACCATGGGAGATCTGTACACCGGCTGAATCCAAATTGCGTCGACTCCTAGTTCTTTGATGTAGTCAAGTTTTTCGATGATTCCTGTTCGTTTGAAGTTTAAATAGGTATAAATTACGACGGCGAAAAAGAGGGATGGCTCCATATATTCAGGAATTGAAAGGGAGCATAACTAACCTACCTACTTCCCTACCTCCCGTTCAACTACAAATTTAGCCTAATAAGATTTTAGTTTTAAGAAATTCGTTAGAGAAATAGAGAAAAAGCAAGATATGAGAGCCATTTCAACTGTAAATTCCACGGTCTTGAATCTAAAATACTATTACCGTTGATTGAATGCAGTAAAAAAAGGAATTTCTGTTATACTCTTAGCTTTAAAATGAGCGATAGAGGTTGAAAATTGACCCGATAGCTCAATGAAAAAGTCCGGGATATTGGACCGAACTCTTTTGCGTGCGGGAGCACACATGTGTAGGTACATAAATCTAATGTGAGCGCAAAATATCTGAACAACAATAAAAATATCGACGGTCCGGTAAAAAATGATAAGTAAGTAAAGAACATGCCTTGCTTTTGAAACATGGTTAGAGGAGTAGGATCTATGAATGATATAAAAGAAACAGTGGTGCTATACATTTCCAGAAGGGATACTTTTTGCAGAAGAGATCGGGTCCATAGTGATAAAGTCATGATCATGGAAGTCGAATATAACATCGTATTCGACGTTATGGCCTAACAGCCGTGCCAAGGAAGACCGCCGTATGAGCCTCCAGATGTTGTCATATTTTTCTCCAATAAAACTCCAATTTACCTCCAAAAATCGGGAATACTTTTTTTTCAAATTTTTCAGATACTTTTGATCGCAATTAAATCTAAAATATCATAAAATTTCAAGGAAAAATATGTGTACGACTTTCCTCAGAAATACACGTTTTATCCGGGGACAGTTGACAATTCTAGAATGTTCGTCCGGGGTTTTTCCTTAGCATGGCAGTATGGTCATGTGAGCCGAATGACGGAAGAAAGGCTGCCAAAAAAGGTGCTTGAGTGGATTCGGCGTGAGACGAAAGGGACGTCTAACGAAAGGGTGGTTGAACAAGAAATGAGGAAATGCTAGTTCACAGAAAGGCTTCAGGAAGATTGGTGTTTTAGGCGATTGTGCGTCAAAAAGCGTTGGAGAGCGCTATAAAAACGCATCTCATGTATATGAGGACTTATCTGTAACAATAGCGGATGTGAAAAATTACCTTTTCGAAACACGCTTAAAAAACTGTTTTGTTCACACAAAAATTTAATATGTTTGGCTCTGGCATAATGGACAGATCTCGAAGATCACATCTCAAGTATTTTCTAAAAATTTTCTCGATGCCAAAACAGTTTTTTGAATGTGTTTCGAAAAGGTAATTTTTTACATCCGCTATTGTTACAGATAAGTCCTCGTATGCTTTCGATGATGTACGAATAAAGTGACAGTAAATGTTTGGTTAAAGTTTAAATATTTTACGTTGTAGGGTTGAAATAAGAATTGAATAACATTTCAATATATTGAGAAGAAAAGTTACTATTAATATCACCGACTCCGTCTCCGTTCGAGTCTTTGAATGATCGTGGGTAGACTTGGTATATGACACTTGTTTCCCACCAATCCAGTTCTGTTGAGCTTGCACCAAAAACGAGTAATAAGCACAATACTGAGAGGATTTTCATGATTAATTTTGAAATTTTTCGTAGTTTTTTTTAGGGGGTTATTTGTATAGATACGGAAACCCTAAACTCAAAAATGTTTTAAAATGGTAACGAGATTAATACAAATTAATAAATTTAAAAAATAGTACACATTGCTCAGTGAACAGTTGTGGACTTGGAATATAACTGACCCATAAAATAATTGAGGTGAGTCGATTACTGCATGATGAAGAGGGACTATTCCTGTATTCTGCAGTAATATAAAAGGAGGCCCTTGACTCGGACAATCGTGGGAGTCAAGGGCCTTATTCGCGATGAAGTGTTTATTAGAAAAACTTTCATTTATACATCATTACATCATTATTCATAATAGACAATTTTGCGCAGAATTCATGCTGTAACTTCTATTTTCATATTTTTCAAAGCTGTCTTAAATTCTACTCTCGGTTCGTCTCGAGTATCTCAAGTATCCATTGTCCTTTGGATTGCCATAAAAAATAAAGAGGTTCGAAAGTCTTGAAACCTGCCTAAAAGATGTGCTAAGAATTTTCTATAGTATTTTCTCTCATGCCTGACCAAAGGGACAGGATTTGAACTACGACGGCTAGAGGAAGAGATACAGTCGGCCCCGCTTAATTGGGACACATCCGTCCCGGGCGGTTTTGTCCCGATATTAAACGAAGTACATAGGTTGTCCCAAANTTTTTTTTTTTTTTTTTTTTTTTTGGACGAACGCTAGTAGATATCAAAATGCGGTTTGTGTAGTCTTAAAAACCGAGCAATTACCGATAAAACAAGACAAATCTGAGCTCTCTAAGTTAAAAAATAACCAAGTTACAGTGTTTTGAAAATGACTTGTAGAAGGGACCCCTACAGGATTTTCAGCTTCTTTTCTGCAAAAAAACAAAGAATTAAGGATTCAAGTGGTTTTATTAAATCAATTTTGCAGAATCTTACCAAGATTACCAGCATTTACTCTTCCTCACTGGACCACTGAACACTAGTTTCCCTCTCAAAATACCTTCTATCACTTGCCACACAGCGCCGCAACCGTTCTTCCCACTTCTTTAAACATGTTTTTCCGAATTCTTCGAAATCTTAAAAAATGAAAGTACATAAAATTTCCATTAAAACGAGTCCAAGATGGTTCAGATCGGATGATCACAAATGCCGTTACAGCGTTGGAAAGTTTCAGGAAATTATTGAAGTTAGGCAATTTCCGTAACTCTCCCTGCAAAAAGAGAGCGCACCTATGCTATGCATTCACGACTGCAAAAAAGTCGAAGGAAATCGACAAGCCCAGCGTGCATGGAGGCTATTTCCATTGTGATCTTCCGTCGCATTTCTAAGGCGCAATGATACAACTATTCGAACACTCCCGAACGCGTGAGGTATCACGCCGCATTTGATAGCGTTTTCAAAACAGCCAAGTTCTATACCCGGATTATCGTTTTGCAAAGTTCTTATTATTATGCTTTATTTCCTACCATTTGTTCGTTTTCAATCCTCCCATAAAAACTACTCATTTGCTGAATACACATCAGCCAGAGCGCACCTATGCTATGCATTCATGACTGCAAAAAAGTCAAAGGAAATCGACAAGCCCAGCGTGCATGGAGGCTATTTCCATTTGAATCCTCCGTCGCATTCTTACGGCGCAATGATACTACTATTCGAACACTCCCCAGCGCGTGAGGTATCACGCCGCATTTGAAGGCGTTTTCAAAACAGCCAAGTTCCGATATCCGGATAATCGTTTTGCATAGTTCATATTATTTTGTTTTCATTTCTAACCACTCGTTTACTTATAATCCTCCTCATAAAATTTACCCATTTGTAAATACAATTCTAGCTAGAGCGCACTTCAGCTATGCATTCACGACTGCTTAAATTTCAAAGGAATTTGACAAGGCCAGCGTGTATGAAGGTTATTTCAATGCATCTCTCAGGCGCAATGATACAATTTTTTGAACTCTCTGGAATGCGTGAGATATCACGCCGCAATTGAAGGCGTTTTCAAAACAATCAAGTTCCGATGCCCGGATAATCGTTTTGCATACTTCATATTCTTTTGTTATATTCCGCACCACTTGTTTATTTTTAATCCTCGTATAAAAACCGCCCATTTTCTAAATACAATTCTAGCTGGAGCGCACTTCAGCTATGCATTCACGACTGCAAAATTTGCAAAGGAAATTGACACGGCCAGCGTGTATGAAGGCTATTTCAATAAAATTTGAGTTGTAAACTTTGTTGTTCCAATGAAACCATTCTTTTTATTTCGGTGCATAACTGTTAATAAAAAATCAGATGACCCTTTTGTTGACCTTAGCAGACGGCATTCGTATTCCACATTTTATGGTATTTTTTTTTTTTTTTTTTTTTACATTTACACCGTGTGTAGATAAAATTGATGACAAGAATCCTACTTTTGTCATAAATTTCCGTTTTTTGCTCCATCGAGTGCTTTGGAGACAAAATGAGGCATTTTCATCAAGATGCAACGACCGTGTGTATTCCGCTAATTCTGTGATCGTTTTCGGCGGCTATCCCAAGTATATTACAAGATGCAGCACTAAAACACCTGGAAGATGGCGAAGAGGACAAGCTTCATCAGTGGAAATAAAATTCCATAAAAGTATGGTTACAGTAACATCACAAGCAAATTTTCTGAAAAACGGCAAAAACAAATCCTATTTGATCCAAAGGCTCATGAAAAGTTTCAGGACTGAAACCATGTCTGTATTTCAAGCAGAAGAAGTCACTGACACAATTAAAGTTTTAAAGGCCTTGGAAATGGCAAAACAGGGCAAAATTGCTGTCATTGTATGAAAATATATTGACCTCCTTGTCCTCCTTACAGCTCAGCCAAGTAACGTCAAAAATGCTTTCCCTCTAAAATCAGGCAAAGGTGAGACTCCTTAAATACTTTTCAACCAAGGCAGCCTTCAAAATGGAGTGGAAGCCGAACACGTACTGCTCATTCATCCCATTAGTGGGTGTGACACAACATCATCACTCAACATCACCACTCTTCAGGCAAGACAAAGTTAAATTTTTAGCAAACCCTGGAGAACAACTCAGCTTTTATAAGTGAACCAGCAGCTCAGATGCTTAAAAAATCAGCCTCAAAGCGAGAAGAAATTTCTAAAGCAGGAAAATAATTTTTACTCCGATTATATGGCTTCAAGGGTGAGCAGAGAAAACTTTGGCTGAATTTAGGTATGAAAGCTATGTTCGGACTTTTTTCCACTATGTACAAAATCTCGCTTGTCTTCCACCTTCAGAGGACGTTGCCACATTTCATGCTCCTATCCTCAAGTACATAACAATGGATGAGCATCAAAAAATACGCGCGCGTGTGACTGGGGGTGGAAGAATAGCAGAAATGGCCTGATTCCCATCATTACCTTGAAAAATCCCGCTACGGGCGAAATTTTAAGCAAGATCTCCTGCAAGTACATTGAAGAAAGTCGCGGCGACCGCGGTTTTTGGAAGAAAGGCCTTCATTGCAGCCTTGTTTGCGGGTATTGACATGGCTCGTTCGAAAATAGTCAATAAGACGCACTCTCAATGGAAGAAGAAGGAGATGACGTAGATGATCCAGAAGACACTGAATGTTTGGAAAATGACTATGAAATGCAGAGAAGTGAAGAGATTGACGAGTGGATAGAACAAGAGGCAGTGAGGTGCATAGGGAGCCATGACACGGTATAAATGCATTATAAAATGT